CCCCATCCCTGGAGGTGTTCAAGGCCAGGCTGGATGAGGCTTTGAGCAACCTGGTCTAGTGGAGGGTGTCCCTGCCCATGGCAGGGGGGGGTTGGAACTTGATAATCTTTAAGGTCCTTTCCAACCCAAACCATTCTATGATTCTATGAAATTCACTGAATCAGTGACATACTGTGGGGTTGGGAGATGCCAAGCTGAGAGTCAATTGAGATGTTTAGAGACTGTGGCCAAGACCCAGCAAAGTGGTAAACAGAGGATTCATTCATACGTTCACCACTGTTAATTTCAAATCTAAACTAGGAGAAGCGCAAAGAATTGCCTTCTTTCTGTACCTTTCATCATAAATTCTTCTCATGATTCTGAGTATTCCCTGCAAAGGAAGGGAAAAGTAGGTGCCTGATAACACTCTGCCTGTGGTAGGCAGTAACTTCGGGCTGTGCTTCACTGAGGGCATAGAAAGGAACAAAATATTTGTGCTGCTTTCTCTTAAGCTGGGCTTCAGTAGTGTTAAAGTGTTTGTTACTGCCTGTCCCCTGTACCAAGTGTGAAACCTCTGAAAGGGTGGGGTAAACCTGACTACAAGCACTTTGCCAGAGTTCACTTCAACGCATGTGGAAGCATATAACCAAGCCTTTTAGTTCAACTATTTATATATAAGTAGCAAGCCCTGAATAGACTCACAAAAGGACAAGAAAATGGCTACATAGCATATAATTCAAGAAATGGTGTATGCTTCTATTTCCTGAAAATAAAATCAGACCAAAACAGATTCCTTTGCAAAGGAGCAATCCCACACTTTTCGTAAGGTTTTAGTATCTGCAAAATAATTTAAAAAATTAAAATATTACCTCATTAAAAGAAGAAAGGTTAAGTTTTTTGGCAATGAACTTTTTTAGATGCAAGACTGTTGCTTGTGCTGAGCAGCGAATCCATTTTCGTTTCAATCCACGCAATTTGCTGCTATTGCATTCCAAGCAGATGCTTACCTTCAGGAAAAAGCAAACAGTCAGGGTTGGCTGGAACAATTTTCTAGAGTCCTCATTATGTATTTCATATGTAGTTTTTATTAATACACCATAGTGAAAAAACACAGTACTAGTATTCCTTAAATTGAAATGCATGTAGTCCTGTTAAAGAAAACATCTTCTAACATCTTGTCAGTTTAGTGATAAGCAGTACCGCAACCAAAACAGATCTAGACAAAAAAAAAAAATTAAGAAAGGATTTTCTATCATGGAAAAAGGCTGCTCCAGTCCAAAGTCAGTCTGCCAAATAACTCAAGAGGACCTTATGTCAAAAGCTAGAGTAAAATACACAGTAAGAATACCATGGATAATTTTAAAATATTGCTTCTAACTTAACTTCTTGCTTTTAATACAGCTGCTAAATACAATTTAAAACAGAATTTGAACATGTTTAGTGTTCAAAAAGAATGGATACAAATGATGTAAGAAATTTTAAAATTCTAAGGATTATCACCCCAAAAGGTCTCTCGAATTTCTATGCTTCAATTCTCACTTCTTTTCTCATCCAGCTATTCATTACTTAATCTAAGCTCTTTGTGATGATTTACTTTATGCACTAAGAGGATCCAGTACTAGGTACAATCCCTTTGAAAGTTCCCTTACATTATAATTGAAAAGAAAATTAATCCAAGTTTAATTTACTCTGGACGCACATAACAGGAAAACATAAAAGGGATGGCTTTTTTATCCCAAAAGGAGATTTCACTTTCAAACATTCTTTGTGTTTAAAACTTAACGGTGAACTTTCTGGCTTTCATACTATTTTTATGGTATAGGGCTAATACTATCTTAATATTAGAGGTTTAAAACAAAATAAATAGTAAAAGTACAAAAGTTTTTGTTCATAATTATTGACATACATTCAGCTCAATGTATCACAACACTGGGATACACTCCTTCAGAAGGGGGTCCAAATAACCTGAATTTATTTTGAAAGCAAATAAATACTTTGGAAACACATGAACAGTCAGAACTATCAAATCTTAATGCGACTATTCTCCATTCCTGCCAAAACCCAAAGATGAAACTCATGCTTATACAAAAGCACTGGGCAACGCTGCATCTTTTTTGTATCAGAAGACAGAAAAAATAGCTTGAAATAGTTATTTTTCTTCTCTGTTAGCTTACCAAAGCACTAAAGCTAAAATATAAGATAAAACTAAGACACATCCTAGGAGCTCACCTGTTCGTCACTTCGGTGGTAGTCATTATCTTCTTCCTGTTTTTCCTCAGAAGTTTCTTTGTTTGAATTTTCATCTGTTTTAGTTTCACCTTAGATAAGAAAACAGACATATGGGATAACACTCAGCAGCAGCTTGTAATGCTAACATGATTAAAACAGCACAGCTCGGGACTGCAATATAAAATAAATCTGCTTTTCCCAAATTGTCTTTAGTCAGGCAACATTATCTGCGAACAGCCCCATGCATGAAAGAGAGTAATGCATACAGTTTAATGGCCAGCAGCCTAGAAGCAGGATAATTTCAGAAAGTCCCCACTCCACTACTATGGAGATCTCCTTCACCAAGAATAATATGCTGTGACTAGCTGAAAAAAAAGATTCTGTGCATTAATACGGGATAAAGCAACAATCCTACACTCACTGTATTGTGCAGTGTTATAAAACAATTGTGACTGTAATAAACCAACTAGGCACATACCTCCTACAGGTCTGTTCATCAATTTACTACCCATCACCCACCCAAGACAGAATAAATAAAGGACTGTTTACCATTTCGATGGGACTCTAGATGTTGTTTTGTAGAACACGTCTCCCCTTTGATATCCCCTGGAACTTCCATGCCCAGTTTGTGATAAAACTCCCTTTGCTTTTTCATTTCCGCTGTTTAAAATTGTAAATATAATTCCCTGTAATAAAGTCCTAATGCAATATTTACGAAGTTATTCCAAATCCCTTCCCGCTTAAGTGAAACAGATTTGCCAACGAGTGTTGGTATTGTCAGTATTTACTATTCTTCTATCTTTGGTGCTGTATCAAGCCATGTCTGCATTTTTCAGAGTTAGAATACTACAATGTCACCTGTATAGCTACTATTATAACATTCCTATTAGAATGATTAGTAATTAAAATGCTATACTTTATTTTTAATCCCTCCCACAATATTTCGGTCAAACAATTTTTTCAAATTTTTATTTATAGTTCTGATTTTGAATATGCTAATTTTTAAATAATCCATTTCATCTTAGTGATGTTTGAGAATGTTCTGGGGTTGCAGATTAAATGGACTACAATACTCTATTTAAATGAAAGTTGTAAGATACATTAAGACAAAAAATTACTAAGCAGTTACTATTAAGTACTTATTTAGTTGAACAGATTCAGTCTCAGAGAGGATTATGAAAACACAAATTGAAGGTTACTTGCTAAGAAAGGACTCACACAGTAAAGCTGTCCTGCATTGCATTCTACCTCTGATAATTCTAGAAAGCCGGCACAACAGTTCTAGGTACACAGTTTAATACGAAAAAATGAGAGTTACAGTGGGCCAACTTCCAAAAGTTGAACTACTATTCTGCTTTATGTAACACTGCTGTTCGAAGAGATGACCCATCTTCCCCCTCACCACATTGCTGCTAGTACAGGTATGAAATTAAATTAATCACTAGAAATGACACAAAAGAAGGAATACTGTTTTCTATTGTATTTTTCCTCAGCCGCCCCCTGCATTTTCATCACCTGAAACTACCCTGCCCACTCCCCTACCTACCCCACAGTGTTAAAGAAGTATGTGCAAAGCAACCTCTAAAAAGGTCATACCACAACTTACCTTCTTGGAGGCCTGGCACAAGTTTGTAAACAATATCTTGCATTGTTCTGTCATGACTAGCAACAAAAAAAAAAAAAATTCAAAAGTTTAAGTCAACCATCTTGATTCAAAGCATTTATCTTAAAAATATTCCAGTACTAAATTAGTGTAAAATCTCTAGATTCACCTCACAAGAATTTCAATTCTCAAATCAGTATTTATACGAACAAGGGACAATAGTAACATGAACCAAATTATGAACAAGTACAGGCTACGACAGAAACCCAATGGAAGTTTGAGAAAGAACAGTCTCAGACATGTGGAGGATGATGCCCCATGGAACATTCCCTCCTGCATCAAGGCAAGTATGTCACTAATAATCTCAAAATTCTTTGACAGCTTTGAGGTAAACTAATTTTTATTACAAAAGAATCAAAGGATAGTCTATTTTTTACCCCTACAAACTATCTCTCACATTTCTAGATTATTTATCTTTACTAGGCTTTTCCAAAAACACAAGAAAACAGCCCACAGAAAAAGACTATAACAATAAAATTTTACTTTTCTCTTAAAAGCCAACAGTTTAACTGTAAGCAACAATTATGTACCTTAGAAGCCTGAACAGGTAGTGTGTCTCAAATAAAAGAAAGGTAATAATTCCACAAGAACTGAAAGGCAGCAGGACCAGTTAAGACTCTAAACTTTAATTCCCAGCTCACAGACAAAATTCTGTTTTAGTCTAAAACAAGTCACTGTCTGAAAGAAACAAAATATTACCCTAAATTCCAACTGATAAATAAAATCAGAAACATTTCAGATGTCTGTCTCAGCTGCTGCAAGGTCATTACTCCAACAGAGGCTGCAATACCAAATCCTGAATCTGACTTAAATAGGAGAAAAGGCTTGCTCTTCATGTCTCAGCTGCTCATCACCTGACATGATATGACCACTTCACAGCAGTGGAGACCAGTGAAGAAGCATAGAAACAGTGACAAATCAAGAGATTTACAGTCAATCATTACAACCTTTTAAGTAGTACTACAAGAAGAATCAAAACATCATTAATTCTAAAATTCAGGCCATTTCAACCAGTAGCAATCCCATTTGCACAGGCTGGGATTTTCAAGCATCACACATGGATTGAGGGAACATCTCCAAAAATATTTCAATATAAATGAGTAAATCAGCCATCACTATTAGATCAGAGGTGAGAATTTAACAGCATTCAGAAATGTGAAATAGGAGACACATTTGGTTTACCTATTTTCCAGGCAGAGGGAGATGAATAGGAGTGCAAGTCAACATTCTAGGACATACTGTGAAACTCCTGGCTATCAATTCTATACTAAAAAAAAAATATATATATATCCCAAAGTAGGCTGGGCAAGGCTTCTTCTGTCTTGAAGGGGCAGTATTTTATAACCAGTTCAGGCAAATAACTTTCAGTGAAGTGTATTCAATGACAAAAAACAATCAGTGAATTCTTTTCAAGCTGTTCTCAATTTGATGTTGTTTCCTGCCCCCTTTTGTCACAGAAAACAAGCTTCCGAACCAAGGCACTGCTGTATTCACATAGCTTTACAGAAGACAAATGTGCTGCCTTAAGTGTCATTCTTGCCTATTGTCATCTACTTATCCCTTTGAAGCACACACTCATATAGGGTACCAGTGTATCATGTAACATATTATCAGTGTACACTATTATTCTTCAAATGCAGAGATAGCATTGCTTCAGAAGTTGTTATAGAACTGAAAAAGGCATACTTGAAACTGCCACAAATGAAAGCAAACTCTTTACAAAGGTAGGCAAAAAAAATATTTGATATGCAACAGCTAGTGCAAACACAGTGTCACAACGGATTTTCATCAGCAAAATGAAAGGAAAGCACTGGAGGAAAAGGGACGTATTTTCTGAAACAAAAAACCAAAAAACAAACAAACAAACAAACAAAAAACCCCAAAAAACCCCCAAAATACTTAGTAAAAAAAAGGAAACCAATGAATACCACATTCATGTTAGGTCAGGCAATGAGAGCAATCTGTGTAGGGATTAAAATAGGACGAAAGACAAGATTGTTCCATTCTAGAGATTAAAGCCACTGGTCTAATGATTTTTCTGCTGTATTTTTACCTGTTCTATGAACTGAACAGACCTTTGAAAGATTAACTGAACAACAAAGCTGACAATTACCTCTCTCATTATGCTGGCAGACCCTGAAAAGCACTGTTCAACTGAGACTAATTATTTTGAGGATTTTGTAAAAGTACTTCTTCAAAGGTCTCATTTATGTCACTTTTACGGCCCAAGCACACAAAATGAGGAATGACTAAATCCCATTAAAACTGACACAGAAATTAAACAGCACAATGCTGTAGTGGGTTAATCCAGACGGCAACCAAATACCACACAGCCACTTGCTCACCCTTCCTTGTCGACAGGGGTAAAGGGAAAGGAGACTTGTGGGTTGAGATAAGAACAATTTAATAATTTTAACAATAAAATTGAAAATAATAATTATTATAATAATAGTAATAATGTACAAACGAATAATACACAGGGCAACTGCTCACCACCCGACGACCAAGGCTCAGCCCGTTCCTGGGTAACAATTCTGGAGCAGAGAGTCCCAAAACCACAAACCCGGAAGAGAGAGCGAGCCCAAGACAGCAAGCAAGAGAGAGAACTTCCCTTCAAACCTCATCTATATATTGGGCATGACATTGAATGATACCATTGGCCAATTTGGGCTTCAATCCTAAACCTATGCTCAAATCCTGAGCCAGTAATTGTGGGCTACACTCCCTCCGAGCTTCTTGTGCACCTGCATGCCAGCAAAGCATGGGAAGTTAGAAAGTCCTTGACGGTCTTATTAAAAACTAAAAACATTAGTATGTTATCAATATCATCCTCAGCACAGATCCAAAACACAGCCTCAGACTAGCTACCAAGAGGAAAATTAACTCTGTCCTAGCCGAAAGCAGAACAAGTGCACACTTCGCTTGCTTTTAAGTCTGGAAAAATCTAACAGATGTCAACGAGTTGCAAATTCATAGTAAAATTTGATTCCATATCTCCTCAACCACCTTCAACCTTCCTTTTAAATGTTTAACATGCTGATAAGCAAGTAAGAAAATTCAGGAAAAATCTGTGCTCTATTAAAGAGGCTGGAACAGTTTAGAGTGAAGCTAGTTGCACTTTTGCTTTCATACTTACCCAATATACTGTAACGGGTGGCTCTGATGTATAACAATCCTACAGGTTGGACAGGTGTTGTTTTCCTCCAAATACTTCACTAGGCAGCTTCTACAGACTGATAACAAGGACATTCTTAGTTAAAAAGAAATAAAAGAAGCATAATGAAAAAAAAAAGTTTGTGTTTACAGTCACAGAAATGCACCTTACTGAAATTTACACAAAGGTCATTTTTTTACCTCACATAAGCATGATGTCTAATCTTGTAAAATACAGTTTCCAATATCTTTCATTAATATGCTTGATTCGGGGAAGTCATGCACTAGAATTAAGGCATCTGTACCTAGCCAGAGTCTACCTAATAAATCATACAACACACAATCCTACTCCGGAATTTACTGCAACAGCAATTTCTAGCAGGTCAACATCATATTGCTTGCACCACTCAGCTTACACAGATGATATTACAGGAACTGTATGCCATTAAGATACTAAGCCTATTTGCTTTAACCATCGCCCCATACATAAGTAAAGTGTACAGTGGCAATGAACTCAACATAAAAAAAAATATTCCAAAGTTGGATACTTTTCAAAAGAACAGAAAACTTTCAAAAAGTGGATATCTAGGTGCTATTTTAATTCTAACCTTCACAGAGTACATTACAGTTAAACTTCCACCAGAAAAAAAAAAATACATGGGCACAAACCTCCAGCATTTGTAAAATGTCCTGGTAGAAGGTGCTAAAGCAGTTGTTCATTACAAAGCTACATGCTTTTGGAACTGTTTCCATATACATACACACAATCATCCATATCTCATTCCAAGTAAACTATTTACACTTCTCCCTTGCCCTCCTGAGACCGTACTGATCATATACACTACTACATGATATCCTGACTCACTTGAATTTACAACTCAAAAATGTACAAAGGAAAAAGAGGAGGGGGGAAAAACATTTTTCTTAAACAGCAGAGGCTCATTTAATCTTAGTATTAATGCACTCATTTTATCACATAAAATGAAAGCATTTCTGTAACTATAGTGCCATCTACTTCTCAGACAAGATGATAGTACAATTAAATAAACACCTGTTAATACCAAAAAAACTATGCAGCAGCAAATGAAGCACAGTAAGTTTGCCTTCTGCATTGTATTTACACACTTAGGATGACAGTACTATTGCTGGTAGAGGTCATGGTTAGACCAAGCCTCATGGCTTTGCACACTAAGTACAGATCTTGCACTGCAGTCTGTTTCAGAGGAAGGCCAGAGCAGTAGATCCATGTGCAAAAGTTAAGCCAAACCCTGGTCTTACCAAGTCAGTGAAAGCAGAACCTGAGAATGGAAGCAAGGTAAGTATCCTGGGAAGAGTACAGGGACACTGCCTTGTTGTGTATGGATGATGTCAGGAAGGCCAAGGCAGAGCTGGAGCTGAACTTAGCAAGGGACACAAAGGATAAGAAGGGCTTCTACAGGTATGTCAGCCAGAAAAGAAAGGTCAAAGAAAGTGTACCCCCCTGATGAATATGACTGGTAAACTGGCAACAATAGATGAGGAGAAGGCCGCGGTACTTAGCAATGGTCTTGCCTCAGTCTTCTCTGGCCACCTCTCTTCCCACGCCTCCTGACTGGATGAACCTCAAGGCAGGGACTCAGGGAGTGAAGTCTCTCCCACTGTAGGAACAGATTAGGTTTGAGACCACCTGAGGAAGCTGAACATACGTAAGTCTATAGGACCTGACGAGATGCATCCTAAAGTCCTGAGGAACAGGCCGATGTAGTTGCCAAGCCACTTTCCATGATAGTCATGGCAGTCAGGTGAGGATCCCAGTGACTGGAAAAAGGGAAACACTGCACCCATTTTTAAAAAGGGTAGAAAGGGAGGATCCTGGGAATCACCAGCTTGTCAGCCTCCCCTCTGTGCTTGGGAAGATCATAGGACAGATCCTTCTAGAAGCTATGCTAAGGCACAGAGGACAGGCAGATGAGAGACAGCCAGCATGCCTTCACCAAGGGCAATTCTAGCCTGACCAACCTATCAGCCTTCTACAATGGAATGACTAAATCAGTGGACAAGGGAAGAGCTACTGATGTCATCTGTCTGGACTTCTGTAAGACCTTTGACATTGCCTTCCCCTCTAAATTGGAGAGATATGGATTTGATGGATGGACTATTCAGTGGATAATGAATTGTCTGGATGTCACATCCAGAGAGAAGTGGTCAACAGCTCAACCTCCAGACAGAGATCAGTGACAAGTGCTGTCCCTTAGGGGTCCCTACTGGGACCAGTACTGTTTAATATCTTCATCAATGACACAGACAGTGGGATTGAGTGCAACGTCAGCAAGTTTGCAGATGACATCAAGATGAACAGTGTAGTTGACACACATGAGGGATGGGATGCCATCCAGAGGGATCTGGACAAGCTCGAGAAGTGGGCCCATGTGAACCTCATGAAGTTCAACAAGGCCAAGTGCAAGGTTCCGCACCTGAGTCAAGGCAATCCCAAGCACCAATACAAGCTGGCAGAAGAAGGGATTGAGAGCAGCCCCGAAGAGAAGGACTTGGGGTACTGGTGGGTGAAAAGCTGGACATGACCCAGCAATGTGCGCCTGCAGCCCAGAACGCGAACCATATCCTGGGCTGCATCAAAAGAAGCATGGCCACCAGGTCAAAGGAGGTGATTCTGCCCCTCTGCTCTGGTGAGACCACTCCCAGAGTACTGCCCCCAGCTCTGGAGTCCCCCAGTACAAATAAGACATGGACTTGTCAGCATGTGTCTAGAGAAGGGGCACAAAAATTATCAGAGGGATGGAACACCTATTCTAGAGGACAGACTGAGAGAACTGGGATTGTTCAGCCTGGAGAAAAGAAGTCTCTGGGAAGACCTTATTGCAGTCTTTCAATATTTAAAGCTGGCTTACGAGAAGATTGGGACAGACTTTTTAGTAGGGCCTGTTGTGACAGGACAGCGGGTAATGGTTTTAAACCGAAAGAGGGTATATTCAGACTCAATATAAGGAAGGAATTTTTTATAATGAAGGTGGTGAAATACCGGAACAGGTTGCCCAGAGAAGCTGAAGATGTCCCACTCCTGGAAACATTCAAGGTCAAGTTGGATGGGGCTCTGAGCAACCTGATCTAGTTGAAGATGTCCCTGTTCATCACATGCATATTGGACTAGATGACCTTTAAAGGTCCCTTCCAACCCAAACCATTTTATGATTCTATGATGCCTTCTAAAACAACCTCCCATTTCAGTACATCTTCCAGTTTGGACTAAGTATACACTAATTCCTCCTAAACTGAACTCATCACAAGTTGTCTTGGCTTCTGGGAGGTTCGTTACTCTAAGCACACCATCCAAATAAATGCAACTAGATAGCTTATGGAGTGTACTGCAGTCTTCTAGATTGACACTGTGAAAAAAGAACCAAATTAGGATTAATAAAGTCTCCTTAAACTGGAAGTCCCAGGAGCACAGGACAGCCAATATAGGAATCATTCTAGGGTCTGAAACAATAGAGTTTTCCATTACTTGTTATTTCCAAAGTCTCCAGTCTCCATTTATGTAGATACGTGGGCACTGATTGTAGGCCTGAACTGAGATACACATTTTCTGGTTACTTTTACAGTACACTTAAACATATCACAGAACTTTCATTGGAAAAGGAACAGGCAAGGTTAATCCTTACTCCTGTTTTTTTTAACACAGTTTCATTCCTCTTGATTTTTTATTTCCGTATCTAGTTAAAGAAATACTGTTGGCCTTTGATGATCCTCATGAACCCACAAAATACTACCTTTCACAACACATGAGGCTTTCCCTTTCATAACATATGAGGACAGCTTTCACACATAAACACTAATGAAACTCAAATTACAAATGTAAAAGTTTAACAAGACCTGCATATATCTGCTAACACAGAATTCTAATCAAGAAACAGATGTACACTAGCAAAGACTTAACATTAAAACTACCATTGAAGTTTTTATCTACTGAGTTACAGGCCTGCCTGTCACCAACACTGAATATATAGCAGAGAAACAAGAAGGAAAGGGAGCAAAAAACATCTGTTTTCCCCTGAATTCTGTTTTATAAAAGAAGTTGGCCCTGTCTCTCCAAAGGACTGGCCCTGGCCCTCCAAATGACTCTCACCAAAGGACTCAAGAACTACATATACTACCAAAGTAAAGAGTCTCTGAATGTCTGTAGGACATAAAATTAGAGAAAAATGAAAAAAGAGAAGAAAACCATGTAGTTCTGAGTGAAAGCAGAAAGAAAATGTCAATGTGGTGTAATTCAGCAGAGAATTCACTGTCTCGACAGGGCACTTTCAGGATGAATTTTGCAAGGACGCTTTTCCATGAACATGTATTATTAGCATTAACATACAGAATACAAATGATGCCAACATGTATGAAGGTTTTTAAAAAGATAGGGTTCTGCGCCTCTTTTCAGAAAGCTGTAATTCTACAGGACACATATTGAAGCAGTATACCGAAAATATAAACAGCCAAAATAAAGGAGGAACAAGCCACAAGAAACAAAACCAAACCAAAACAAAAAAAACCCAAACAGACAAACAAAAAGAAGCAGAAGCTAGCAAAGAGTATTCCCTGGCTTTTGAAGCAACTACTAAAGCACTGTGGCACTGTGGATTAATCGAAAAATTTCCACCATAAGCAAATGTTAAGAAATGGTGTAGATGATGTCAGCTATGGGTTTTTTGTGCTTTGTTTTATTAAAAAAACAATGAAAAATTACACTTTAGCTCTATGTCAGCCATGTAAATTTGTTATAATACTGGTTTTATATAATTTTGTTAATAGCAGCAGAAAATAATTTTGGGCAAAACTAAGCAGAAGTGTAGCTTAAGGATCTCTATACTGCAGAAAGAACTCTAAGGAAATTAAGATGTGAAACAGATGCAGAAGGGACATGCAAATAACCAAGGTGACATGGAAGTGTGACAAGAACAAATTCACTGAAGATGATGAAAGAACTTCTAAATGAAATACAATGCAAAACGTAATCTCTGACAAATCATTGTATTTCCCCTTTGTAAGACATTTTAGGTGAAGAATAAGTCTGCTGAAACTTTCATTTTTTGATGATGAACCCACTGCCACCAAATAATTCCCTTCCAAGAAAGTTCAGGACTATGGATTATTAAGCTATTCAAACAACATACTAGCTTTATCACAAAACACTGTAACACAAGCATTTTAAAAAATGGGATGTTTGAAGTCGCATGGCAAATACTATTTAATAGATTAATACAGGTGCATATAAAAAATTATATTCTAAGCACTGAACAGATAAAACTGGACAAATGGAAGCTGCAGGTGACAAGGATGTGTTGGTAAATTGCAGGGATTCTGAAGACAAAGCTAGAAAAAATACTGTTGGTAAAACCCTGTAATGTCAAGTGTAAAGCCATCGATGTGGCTGCTACAGATGGTATTTCATGTCACTACAGCAAGCCTTCTGGACTACAGGTTAATTCCTCAGCTGATACCTACCTTGTCAAAGGAAACTAAAGATCAGAACAGATTCAAGACAGAGAACAGTTTTGGAGTTACCACGCTGGACTACAAGGGTGCTTCTCCTCAGAAGGAATCCTTCCAGATCTTTAGTTGTAACTGTGCTAATATGCAAGGTTTCCATCAGAATATTGCAAACTTATATCCCACGACATCAAGAAAAAAGATGCTAGGATGCTAGGAACTTATACCTTCAGTTTTCTTGAAGCCTAAGGCTTGGCAAGGTACTAGGGCATACTTCACTGATGTGAAACAAGAAAATCATAAAATAACAACAACCAACTACCTCATCACAATATTTTGGAACAAAAGGTTATTTCTAGGGTACAATACTATATAGTTATTCTTTGTTGATAAACTATGGCTGTTTTCTGCAGAGGAACAGGAGAGCAAGAGACATTTGGAAGGCTCCAAGTGGAGAACATATGCTATATCAACTGTCACAAAAGAGAGAACTAGGCATTCCACATTCCTTTAGCAGGAAGACAGACTGCATTCTTGAATGCATATGTTACCACTAATTGTATGTGGCTGCAAGTTTGTGTAGTACAGCTTTAATGTTCTCTTCATTTACTTTGTTAAAAACGCAAATCATCTGTTAAAAAAAAAAGCAGTGTCTAGTGAAGCATGCATTACTTTGGCTGATGCATAATAGATTTTTAAATTTAAACACGTTGCACATCAAGTTAAAAAAATTTCTTTAACTTAATTATACTTGTACTTACAAGTATGTAAGCATTCTGTTACAGTAGTAGCATCAATCAGGTATCCATTGCACAGACGACAGGTTATATGGGCATTAATGTCCCAAAGCTTAATCTTTCTTGTTAGCATCTTTGGTGTCTGCAGAAAAGACATATCATAAAGTAACACAGCTGTAGTGACGAGGTACAAGTCATTTGGGAATAAATTATTAACTCGAATTAACCATAAAGATACATTTATACAGCTTTAGGCTCTCATATACTGTATATGTGCGTGCATGCACACACACACAATGATAGCACTTACTTTTAAAGGACTTCACAGAAGTGAAACAATGTAAAACCCACACTATTTTGCAAGTCAAAATTTCAACAGCATAGAAAACATTCTTTCTAGCATGCAGTTAGTAAGTTACTTTACCAACCAAGGGACTTGGATTTAAGGTGAAACCCTACTATTCTACTGATCTAAGTCATCACATTGAGTCTAGTAATGGGGAAAAAATTCATGAAAATTTGGAGAGAGAAAATCCTCAAAGCAATTTGAGAACTGGAAACATTTTGATAATTGCAAAGTCAAAATAACTGAGTCTGATTTGGCATAGTAGGTTTAAATTTGTGCCAGTATGGTTAAAGCACAATTTTGAAGCTGTGTCTCGATAATGGAGCTGAAAAGTAAACCTTTCGAAATCCCATTTTATTTATACTCAAGTTAATTCAAGAACATATTGCAAACTAAAATAGTGTCATTGGCAGAGCTGCAGATTGTTCTTCTAAGAAATATGAACAAGAAAGTTTTTCTGTTTTCAGAGCAAGGGACGACATAACCACCATTAAAAGGAAGAAAAATTAGAAATTAAAAATGAAACAACACATTCAACTTTTTTTGCAGCAACCCCAATTGCTTTTAGAGAAAACACCACACAAAGCTTAGGCCTTCACAGTTACCTTTTAAAAATAGCTGTAATTTCTTTTTCAAAATATATTGAAAAAAAATTGTACTGTTACCATAAGTTGACAGCACTAAAGTTAATTAACAGAGAAGGCTAAACTGGATTACAACCTATTACATTTGGTTCCCGCACTGCAGAAGTCACCGAATTACACTGTTTTCCATTAAAATGACTACCGTCCTTGGCTCACCAATATTAGTTTCCATCTAGCTTTAGTTTGGAATATATTTCAGAATTTGAATGGTGACATATGATCCCCAAATTCCACATTGAAATATCATAACAAGGTTGTCTGATCTTCAATTTAACCTGTCATATTCTTTTTCTATGTTTAATGAAGTGGTACTAAGCAAAATGGACTATCAAAAGGCAAACTTTCACACTAATCTGAACTATACCAGCACTGAAAAAGTACTTTATATTTCATTACAACCTATGGAAATGCACATCAAACACCCACCCACTAAAATTTGCATCGTCCTATGTAAAAATGACTAGGAAGACTTCCAGTTCTCATGGCTAAGAAGTAAATGACACAAAACCAAACTTATTATATGGTATTTGAGACTTCTTAATTAAGCTAGTGACTAGTCATTACAGAAGAATGAAAGCACAACTTGGTTTTGCTACATAAGATAGGTCAGACTCTATGCTAGGAAACTGAATTACATGTCTAAATTGTATTTTATAGATTTACTTCTAACCAACTGAAAACTAGCCACATATTAAACACTTGGAAGTTAGTGCATCATTTGCATGAAGTAAATCCATTTCTATGGCACAGGAGAAGAGCTCTTCGACATCATTCTTTAAGAGTTCAAGAGATGGCTTAAAGCCAACAGTTTAATAGAAAGTCAGCACAATGGAAAACAATTTATGACGGTCAAAAGAGAAATTAAGCTACAAGGATACGTAAAAAGGCAATATCAATACAATTCTAGCTACTTGCTTAGGCAGGAATTCAGACAGAGGTGTTTAGGATCACCATGGACTGAATCCAAGCACTGAGGCAGAAGAGCCAAAGATATTATGGTGAAAACTGACTCAAAGAAAATATCTATTTTCTAGAAAAAGCACTACAGTTTTTCCCTACTACAGTAAGGACAAGCTCTGCCACTAGAAAGAAATCTGCAACAAGCAAAACGCAGTTCAGACAGGGTATAATATTATGAGAAAAATGAAAGAACACAAAGAAGAAGGTAAAAATACTACAAAATGGTAATAAAGCCCATTTTGCCAGAAAAAGAGGATAGCAAAGATAATACATACTTCACTGACTGAATTGGAAACAAAATTGTACACTTTTGGCAATGGAAAAATACATGTCTTCTGCAATACTGAGAGCAAACCCGTCAAACCCACCTTATGAAAATTTATACGCCTTTCAAGAACGACACAAAAACCTTCTCATTAGACTTTTACAGAACAGACCAGGAACTATTGGAAAAAGCAGGAGAATGGGAATAGTTTTTTCCAGAGCATCAGACACCTCAGTTTCAAACAAGACAAAACCTATAGTACAAGAGTTCTCCAGAAGGCCGGGTCCACACTGCCACTGCTAAAGGAAAAGAATGATCTCTTCCATGCATATGGAGAGGCCCAGATATGGTGGCTTCAGCACAGCTTCAATCTCTGATAAGCAATGCAACTTTTAAAGTCTGTAAGCAAGCTGCCAGTGTCAGACTCCACTTTAGCCTGCATCTTGTGCAATTGAGACCTGTGTCCTCTAGGCTCAGGAAATAGAAGAAAATTGGAATGCCACTCTTATTTTTCAAAACAGTTAACCTGTAACAACAGGAGGCCTTATTTAAATTTAAAAAAAAAAAAAAAGGCCAGACCAGTTCATATCTATTTAGAAAAGAAGGGAGGAGCTAGCAACAAAAGAGTGTATTACCAAGATGTCAGTTCAGTTAGACAACATATTTCAAGACTAAGACTTTGAAGACAACTTTAATTGCTTCCCAGACAGAAAGAGAACAAAAAATAATTTAGCAAAATTACTGACACATACAGAGAAGAAAGAGAGGGACTAATGTTACAGAATAAGAAATCAAATTCATTAATAACACCAACAAATTAAAAATGTAAAGTAATTCCACATTCATCACCTGTCTGTTCTGTACCACTTCAGAGGAAAGTAAATAACGTAACTGAAAAATTTCACCACCAACTACTTTTTTATCATTATTAATGTATTTGAAAAGGACACTGTCGTGGGTTAAAGACTGCTTAAAGTTAACTCTGTGAGGTGTGTTTTTTCTCCTTCTTCTTCATAAATAGCTAGCAAGAGGCTGTGTTTTGAATTTACGCTCAGAGGAGCTGATAAGAGAATAATGTTTTGTTCTGCTGCCAAGGTCAGCAGACGAGCAAAGAGGTACAGCCGGTTGCTAGCATAGGATTTGCCCTTATGTTAAAATTCAAACTCAGAATAGCCAATGATTTATTCCATAACATGCACGTCATTCCCAGTATATAGGTAAGAACACCCAGAAGAGTGCTCTCTTTTTTGCCTCTGCTCCGCTTTTTCGGTGCTCTCGCCTGGCTCGGCATCGCTCTTCCAAGGCCTTTCCCCACCCTGCACACACACCCTGGTCAGCTCTCTCTCTCTCAGCCTGGGATGCCTGAATCGTTATCTCCGCTCCGTGAGTTTCGGGATTCTCCCTCTCTGGGGGGGATCGTTAGCTGCGGCCAGGTGGTCGTTTTCCCCACTCCGGTCTGGGAC